TTTTGTTTGCAGTGGTGAAGAGCAATCTGACAGCCTTGATGATAAATGAAAACATATCTAGCATCTTGCATGACTCCCATGCTAAATTCTTGAAAAGGTAGACCCCTTGGTGGTCGTACGCTCTCCCCACCCTGAACAGTCTGGGCAACTTCTGACTGCTGAAGCCACCACCCAAGCCTGCAGGAACCCCCTTCCCCTCCAATTCCCCCTCCACAAGCCCCCCTTCCTCCTACCACCCTTTTTTACCTCTCCCCCCTTTTTTTCCTATCCCCCCTTAGGACTGACTAGTTGGTTCACCCATTATTTTTTTTTTCTTTTTGTATGACCCTAGGCCTTTAGGCTTAGGAAGCCTATACAGACCAACAGTTTCTTCCCTGCGGTCATTCAATAGCAATTTATACTGTTAAAATGTTTATTTGCCCATGATTCTACTAATGCCTACATGACTAGTTCTTTGTTGTGTATCCCCTGCATGGGTGATCATGTTCTTTTTGCTGCAACAATAAAAAACTATTGTACCAGGAAAAAAAAAATATTTTTCCATTTTTTTTATACATATTCAAAAAACTGAAAGCAGAACTTTAAGTAGAATTCTAGCTAAAACCTAACTAGTCTTAAAAATGCCCCTCCACCAACACCAATGTTGACTAACCTGTGTAAGAAATGTATATACACTGCTCAAAAAAATTAAAGGAACACTTTTTTAATGAAAGTATAGCATCAAATCATTTCAACTCCTGGGATATTGATCTGATCAGTTAAGTAGCAGAGGGGGATGTTAATCAGTTTAAGCTGCTTTGGTGTTAATGAAATTAACAACAGGTGCACTAGATGGGCAACAATGAGACTATTCATCTTTTCTGACTGTTTTTCACTAGTTTTGCATTTGGCTAGGGTCAGTGTTACTATTGGAAGCATGAGGTGATACCTGGACCCTACAGAGGTTGCATTGAACATCAGAGTTGGCAGCTCCACCACTGGCACCCTGTGCTTTTCACAGATGAGATCAGGTTCACTCTGAGCACGTGAGAGACATGAAAGGGTCTGGAGAAGCCGTGGAGAATGTTATGCTGCCTGTAACATCATTCAGCATGACCGTTTTGGTGCTGGGTCAGTGATGGTCTGGGGAGGCATATCCATGGAGGGACACACAGACCTCTACAGAATAGACAAAGGCCCCCTGATTGCCATTAGGTATCGGGATGAAATCCTTGGACCCATTGCCAGACCCTACGCTGCTGCAGTGGGTCCTGGGTTCCTCCTGGTGCACAACAATGCCGGCCTCATGTGGCGAAATCCAATAGAACACCTCTGGGATATCATATTAATTTTTTTCCTTTAATTTTTTTGAGCATTGTACTTTCCTATTTTCAGCCCGCTCCATTCCAGTCTTATTATCCCCCGTGTGAATCAGAAGTGGTTGCAAGGGAAAGAGAGCTTGGCAACAGATGGGCCATAGGAGCCTGTGGGTGATGTCACCACTCCCAGGTATTCCCAGCAGCTGTCAAGCACTCTCTCCTCTCCCCTGAACCCGGGGATCACATGACCAGACCAGAGAATAGGTATGCATATGCATTTTTTTTTTACACAGGTTAGTCATCATCGGGGTTAGAAGGGGGGAGGGGACATTTTTAAGACTAGTTAGGTTTTAGCTAGAATTCTACTTCAAGCCCCAAAAGGGAGTTAGTTCAGTTTTGACACACCCCACTGCCCAAACAGAAATGTGAGATTTTCATTTTTTTTCTATCTATTTTTTGGCCCCACCCCCTGCCACCATTCTGGTCTAGGGCAGAAGGATGTGTCACTGGTGCTGAAACCTCCTAGGACACATACATTGCATCTCCAGGGAGGCTGCAGGATTGACACACAATGCTGACAGAAGGGGGAGGGGGTCCCGTGTGTTATCAGAGCAGGCTGCTTGAACCTGGAAATGGCAGTCTGCTGAAAATGACCAAGATGGCAGCATTGGACTCGCTGTATACCACCTGAACAGTAGATCGCAGCATGACAATGTTGGATTCACTGTGCAGGAGAGTATGTGTTTTGAAAAGAGCCCAGAAATACAGGTAGGAGGGAAAAAGATAAAACATTAAATGTTGTCCAGGGGCAGGACTGGAAACCAGTCAAGTGTGCTGCCTGACATTATACTGAGAAGAAACATGCGGATAGGTGAAGAAAGCAGAGTGACGGAGAAGTGACCTCATCCCTTACTTAACCTGTATTCTTTATACAGTCTATAACTGTGGCTGTGCTGTGTGGCAGGGTTCTCAAATCTTCATATCCTAAAAGAAAGAAATAGAAAATCTTTGAAAGGTGAAATGGCTTCTGTATATACAGTATGTGTTTTATCTGTGTATTTATCTGTTTGCCTGGTGTTTGACTTTAAAGCAAAATGTGCTTTGCCCAGACCTGGTGATTGGCTGGGTTGTTAAATACTAAAGGATAAGTGCACTTTAAAACAAAGTTCACTTATCTTTTTTTGGCCCTTCCCTTGCCCAAATCTAACCATCTCCCCTTCCACAGATACATAATTGCCTTGACCGGATAGCTGTGGCCTAGATATTTTTTTATACCCTGTGCCGTAAGTCTCACTGTCTTGGTTGTACCTGTGCATTACAGCCGCATAGACTTCAGGCTTTGTCTTGAGGCTGGAGATAAAGGTAGATGGTTCCATAGAAGCCTATGGTGCTGTAATGCCCATGTGCGGCCAGGATGTAAACGAATCCCAGAGGCTTCAGCCATTGGATTGATGTAAGCATAAATCTGTGGAGTGGTGGAGATATGTTAGGTCAGGATAAAGGGGCAAAAGAGATACATGCATTTACAGCAAAGACCAGAGGGCTAGTCACCAGTAATGCTTGTGGTCTCCCTGTAGCAGGTCTGATGATCAGTTCCCTGACAATGCCATGTTCTGCACTGTGTCTCTGTATGTAGGTGGCCATCTTGGTAAAGGCAGGGCTTTACTTCCTCATGTCACAGCCTCCAGCAGGAAGAACAGTGAGCAGTATAATAGTGACATCACCAAGTCTCAATTAAAATCTCCTAAGACCAGCAGTCAGAGGCAGCAGTGCCTTGGATCTCACACTACAGCTGTGGGGCAGTAGGCAGAGGAGTGCCTAAGCACCTCACATACCTGGAAGCACACTACTATTTTACAGGAGAAATTCTAGACAAAACGTATATTTTTCAGGGTACCGTTTGGGAACGATTGACATCTCTAAATTTTCTTTATAACATAGCAAATCTTTACTTTTTGAATTCAGTTCCACGTTAATAACACAGGCTGTTAGTTCTCAAACAATTGCTCAAGAATTGCATGTCAGCACTTGTCAGAGAAAATGACACTCTGTACTTAGAAAACACTGATAAGTAGAAATGCATAAAGAGTGACTGCAGAGCAGTGCTTCCTACAGATCACATAAAGGAAAAAAAAGGAGATTTTGGAAAAATACTAGATCATTACATGTGCAACAGTTAGTCAATGTCCAGAGCACACCAAAAAAAAGCTATTGAGAAGGACGTTGTTCAGATACAAGGTATTGCGCTATGTTATTTTTCCCTACTGAACATTGCATCTGAAAACAAAAAGCTCACGCAGCTGAACAGGTGTTTTTGTCTGTGGTTGCTATTTAACCTTGCTGCTTTTCTTTCTCCGCTCTCACATTTGGGAAAGATTTTGAATGTGAGCTATTTGGAGACGCCCCATGTTGTGAAATGTAGGCATTCGTGACAAAATATTGAGCCTAAAAAATAAACTCTATAAAGTCCCAGTAATTTTACCATTAAGACATTGGCCTGAAAGTCAAAGAAACTATTTTTAGAGCCCCGCCAATATTTTCTTTGGAAGCTGAGTAAACAAGCCTTCTTTAGATCAAGAGTGCGTGCCGAATGGTGCTTAGGTGTCTCTTTACCAAAGAAAAAGGTATCCTCGGGATTAAGCAGGAATTTTGTGGTTATGTAGTTAAAGAAGAGAGAAAAATACCTCTAAACATGACATACAACAATTACCAAGTTTTAGGGAACCGACCATATTAAAGTTGAAAAGACTTAGGCCTCTTGCACACGGCCGTAAAATTGAATGTATGAGTGTACAGTGTAAAATATGTCTGTTGTTATGGCACCACTATGTACATCGTTTGCCCATTTGCTTGACTTTACAGCCATCTGCAAGAGGTGTTATAGCTTTCTATACAAAATTTCATTTACTTATAAGTAAGTTCTCCAAATACTGAGTTTTTCATTAAAATGTATCTACAGGCAAAACTATGTTTTATTCATTTTGGATAGAATGTTGAAGATTAAGAGCTTTTGTCAGGTTTTTCTTGTTGTCGGTGTCACTGTTTGGGGTTGTTTCTGTTGGTGTTATATAGTAAATTCAATGCTTCCCAACGCTTTGAAAATACAACTCACATTTTTGAAGCATTATTGCCCATTTTTTTCCCAAGCCCTTGGGTTGGCAACTTTTAAAGCTTGCTAAACATTTTTCTGCTTTGCTGTTCTTAAATGCTATACTATATTTTATTGCACACAACTGTGCTGCCACATTTGGTGTGCTGTGTCATGGATCTCTATTATTGTGGCCATGTGAGTGGTTTTGGGTGTATAAGGGTTGGAAAGGATATGTGAAATCTACCTTTTTTGCCACCAGTGGAGACTACCCTGCAAAATGTTCACCCTTTCTGTTTGAGATTCACCCTTTCTATTGGCCCTGGTGACAGATGTCACCTGTATGGAAAATGATGGGTAGTCCAAAATAGAGTTTTTTACGAGAACAGGAGACATGGAAAATTGTTTCAATGGGGACATCTGATCTGGTGACAACTAAAAAAGGGATATTTCCTTAAATTTTGAGAGATCTCTTCTTCCTACTGTATTCTTGTAGATCTTGAATCAAATAGTGTCTACAGCAGGGGCGGACTGACCATTTGGAAACTCAGGCACTGCCCAAGGGCCCTGGGTCAGTAGGGGGCCCCATGAGATGTCCCTGGTACCTTTTTTGTAGGCTTGTTTGAGTTTGGGCAATGACACAGGGGCCCTATGATCCCCCGGGGGCCCCATGAGTTGTCAATCCGTCCCTGGTCTACAGATAAAGGTGATATACTTGAACAAATTACATGTACAATTGACATGTAGTGTTCATTTTCATTAACTTTATGAACGAAAATGCAAATTTGTCTTATTGTAAGAGTAAGTACATGCCTATATTTACTGCCTATTCGTATCCATGAAATTTTAGTCTGGTCCTTCAGAATAAGTGTCATTGATTAGAAGCTCCTTAGGAAGAACGAAGGAGAACCTGTCTTATTTAAAATTCATACATCTAGGGTCTGGTGTTCGCTTTGATTTTGACGTGAATGGTGTCATCATGGCAAAATCAATAGAGCTCTCTGAGGCCCTCAGAAAGAAAACTGTAGACGCCAATGAGTCTGTTAAATGATTTAAAAAGATCACCAAATGATCTGAAAACCAATCATCCTACTGTATGGAAAATAATCTACATGTGGCATAGATTTCAAACAACTGCTTATTTCTCCAGGACACATTGGTCCACCAATGTCAGCCCAAGAGCTGACCATTTGATGCTAAAAGAAGTCTCCAAGAATCCCAAAATTTAATTGTGGAGTGTTCAGGTAACTCATGGGGTCAAAGTGCATACATACACCTACACAGGGTATTTTTAGTTGAAACGTGGCTGAACGGCATTCTGCCACCTCCGGCAGCCCTCTATCTCCAGGCTGTCACAAAATCTGGTAGAGGAAACTTTCTATATTCCTCACTCCTCACCGGATTTTATAGGGGGAGCTGTGGACGTGGGAGAGGGTGAACTGTGGATGGGTTGGGGAGAGGGGTGACCTGTGGATGGGAGGGAAGAGGGTGACCTGTGGATGGGGGAAGGTGAGCTACGGACAGGGGGGAGAAAAGGCAACCTGTGGATGGGGGGGAGTTGAGCTGTGGATGGGGGAGGAGAAGGTGAGCTTTGGATGGGAGGAGAGAAGGTAAGCTTTGGACAGGGTGAGAGGGTGAGCTGTGAATGGGGATGCTGATTTTTTTTCTGCAGGCTGTGTGATACACATTCCTCTGCACCTCACAATATGCACTCCTGCGTTTTATGTACTCCTGAGTCCAGTACTCTGTGTGTTACACTTTCCTGAACCTTGCATTGTTTGCAATACTCAGTTCTGAGCCTTGACCACACCCATTATTTGGCATCACTTTACTTCTCAGTGAAATAGCAGTATTGGGGGTGGGAGGGGGCTGGGGTGGGGAGTTAACTAGAAAGGGTGGGTTTCTGCATTTATTCCCTGTTAAAAATGCCCTGCATCTACAATCAGAAAGGGATTACACTTGTATGAAATGTGAGTTCAAATAAACAAAACAAGGCAAGATTACAGTTTGCCATTGAAAATATGGGCAAAGACCATATTTTCAATACTGAAGACTGATCAATCAAAGATAAAGTTTAAATAATTTAGAGCTTTGGGTGGTATGAAGCCTCCATTCCTAGGTCCACGTCTTATCCATCAACCCAACCTCATTAATTAGTCGCAGCTGTCTTTTTTTTATATGTTAGCTGACTGATACTCAGGGGTCTCTCTCTTTCACTCTATCTGTTGTGGTAGCCTACTACTGAGTGGAAAGGCTGACTGCTGACAAAACACTAAAAAGTTATTTAACCTGTTAATTTGCTGTTTGCTGAATTAAAGTGCAGGACAATCTGGCATCTTACCTTAAAACCCCTAATTTAAAGTGTTACTAAACTCACAACAGTAAAATCAGTCTGCATATGCAGTAAAGTATGCTTGTTATAGTCACTGTGGAATCTAAGGGGTTAGTCCTCTGCATTGTGTAAAAATATTGTTTGATCCTGACTTCTCTGATTCTCCCCTTCTTCCAGTGTCCCCCTCTTATCTCCTGATAAGACATATCGTGTGGAGACACTTTGCACATGCTCAATTTAATGTGTATTGCTAGAGAGGTTTTTCTTTTTCTTGGGAGAGTGCATGTGATCAGCACAGGGTCACTCAGCACTGTCCAGACAGAGGTCAGGGGTTCTGCATCTTTCTGCAGCAGAAAGAAAACTCCTACAAGCTTTAAGATGTGCTCTGCTGAACATTGAAATAAGTCACAAGACTGCTATATTCTGCTGATGGGAAAACGTATTTAGCAGTTTGTACTTACTAAAATAATTGCATGTACTGTAAGTTACCAGATATAGTGAATGCAGGGTCCTGGGTTTTGTAATACTTTAACTAATCATGTTGATTGATTAAAAAAACTCATATATTCCTTATATTTAATCATGTATATAGGAAATATTATTTTTAATACTTTTAATCACAGCTTTGGGATGAGCTGCCTCTAATCACCAAGTTATTTGTATTTAGAGCATTTTACATGGAAAGGGCTTGGTGTACTCAAGCAATACCAAGGTAAAAAGCAAAATGTAAGTGGGTCTGGTATAGGTTGGTGGTAGGAGTTCTATATATGTCTACGAATATACACAAGAATAAAATACACTTTCCAGGTTTACTGGTCATTTGGGATTTTGATACTGCCATGTATGTAATTGGGCAGTATGTTGGCCTAATGCTTCAAACTCTTGTGATAGCTTTAAATACCTTTATTTAGGATTCCTCAGATGTACTCTTTTAATAAAATTATCACATCTTAAGTCTGATGCAGCTTTCTCAATGGTGGGATTGAATATGAAAATCCTGTATATATCAGTAAGGTATGAGATTGATTTAATCACCTACTTAAATTATTAGGAGCATAAATACCATGACCAAAGTAAATTGTTTAGAATTCTTAAAATTGTTTTGGAAATAAATTTTATGTACTTTGGATGGTAAGTACAACTGGCAGATAAGGGGTATGGTTGTAGGATGAGGTGCGCGTCCAGCTTAGCCTGTTTCATCTTAGCTGGAGAGAAGAAATGGGGGTCTCCTCACCCCAGCTTTACCGTTCACATGTCATTCTCTAGCTGCATTTCATAATATACCTAAATTGTGGAAGAGGAATCAAAACCTATAAACAATATGTGTAAAGTACTTGTGAGACACAAAAAAAACGTAATCAATATACTATAGTAATAGTATGGTTCACTGGCATTAATCACATCCTCATCAGTATGTGTAATTATACCATGTCTAAAAAAATTGGAAAATGCCGCGCTCCAAAGTGTGTATAATAAATAAAAAAAAACCTCCTACTAATTAATTGAACTATAAATATATTCAACTGTGCCAAATGAAATTAATCAAATTGATAAAAACTAAAATGTGATTAATAAATTATTACACTTAAATCTGCTGTGCCATGTTAAATAATTAATAAATGCAAATACAATATATTAGTGCAAATTTATAAATTTGTGACAGTCCCATAAAAAATTGTGTGTTCCAAACGGAGTTTCAATCTGTGCTTCAATTCTGACATTCATATGCGCTCACCTCCATGTAAGCCTAATGCTAGGCAAACATAACTTTGTATCCAAATAGGTTGTGATCTATTGTGTTCTATAGCTGGATACTTCAGGGTCTGGTGGACGTTGGATATCCCCTAGGATCTCCTGGGTGGATCACTGCTTGTTTGCTGGTGTAGCTGTCAGGATCTCTCCCTCCTTACACTGCAGGATTTTCCTCCGTCCCTCCACTTCTCTCCTCAATTATCCTCCTCTCTCTAGAACCACGCTCACTGATTGGCAGTCTGGCTACTGGGCACCACAGTGGCTAAATGGTTAGCACTTCCACCTGGCAATACTATGCGGAGATAAGTGTTGACATAGGATTGCTATTGACAGGTGTTTTTGCATTGAAGTCAATAGGAGGTGTTTTTGCATTGAAGTAGGGGCAGCACAGTGGCTAAATGGTTAGTACTTCCCACCTAGCAGTACTAAGGTCCTTTAGGTCAAGTCCCAGTCATGGCACCACCTGCCTGGAGTTTGCATGTTTTCCCTGTGCCTGCATGGGTTTCCTCAGGGTACTCCAGTTTCCTCCCACACTCCAAAGACATGCTGGTAGGTTAATTGGATCTTGTCTAAGGTTGGCCCTAGTATGTGTATATATGAATGTAAGTTAGGGACCTTAGATTGTACACCCCTTGAGGGTTAAGGACTGATGTGAGTGTGCAATATACACTATATTGCCAAAAGTATTGGGACGCCTGCCTTTACACGCACATGAACTTTAATGGTATCCCAATCTTAGTCCAAAGGGTTCAATATTGAGTTGGCCCCGCCCTTTGCAGCTATAACAGCTTCAACTCTTCTGGGAAAGCTGCCCACAAGGTTTAGGAGTGTGTCTATGGGAATGTTTGACCATTCTTCCAGCAGTGCATTTGTGAGGTCAGGCACTGATATCAGATGAGAAGGCCTGGCTCGCAGTCTCAGCTCTAATTCATCCCAAAGGTGTTCTACATGGTTGTGCAGGCCAGTAAAGTTCCTCCACCCCAAACTCGCTTATCCATGTCTTTATGGACCTTGCTTTGTGCAGTGGTGCACAGTCATGTTGGAATAGGAAGGGACCATCCCCAAACTGTTCCCACAAAGTTGGGAGCATGAAATTGTCCAACATGTCTTGGTATACTGATGCCTTAAGAGTTCCCTTCACTGGAACTAAGGAGCCAAGCTCAACTCCTGAAAAACAACCCCACACCATCATCCCCCCCTCCACCAAACTTTACACTTGGCACAGTGAAGTCAGGAAAGTTCCATTCTCCTGGCAACCACCAAACCCAGACACATCCATCAGATTGCCAGACAGAAGTGGGATTCGTCACTCTAGAGAACACATCTTCACTGCTCTAGAGTCCAGTGGCGGCGTGCTTTACACCACTGCATCCGACACTTTGCATTGTACTTGGTGATGTAAGGCTTGGATGCAGCTGCTCGGCCATGGAAACCCATTCCATGAAGCTCTCTATGCACTATTGTTGTGCTAATCTAAAGGCCACATGAAATTTGGGGGTCTTTAGCTATTAACTCTGCAGACAGTTGGCGACTTCTGCGCACTGTGCGCTTCAGCATGTGCTGACCCCGCTCTGTCATTTTACATGGCCTACCACTTTGTGGCTGAGTTGTTGTTGTTCCCAGTTGCTTCCATATTGTTATAATACCACTAACAGTTGGCTGTGGAATATTTAGTAGAAAGGAAATTTCACAGATGGACTTATTGTACAGGTGGCAACCTATCACGGTACCGCGCTTGAATTCACTGAGCTCCTGAGAGCGACCCATTCTTTGACAAATGTTTGTAGAAGCAGCCTGCATGCCTAGGTGCTTGATTGTATACAGCTGTGGCCAGGAAGATGATTGGAACACCTGAATCCAATGATTTGGAGGGTTGTCTCAATACTTTCTGCAATATAGTGTATATGTAAAGTGCTGCGTAAATTGACGGCGCTATATAAGTACCTGTAATAAATAAATAAAATACTAAAACACATATGAAAAGTAGAAAATTATCCATATCACAAGCCTTTAGCTCTCTCAGCAATATCATAAATCCTGAAAGGTTAACAAAAGGTATAAAAATTGGCCTTGGCAAAGGAAGGTAAAGTGGCCAAGAACAAATAAGAAAAAAAATATTTTGAAGAGGTGACTAGCATAGTTACATCTCATGATGTCCCGTACACATGACTGAATTTTAATAAAGTACAGGTATATACTAATAATGGCTCCTCAAACCATTTAGACTGTGGGACCATGTTAACATCTCACGACCTCATAATATAATAGACTTGCTTGTAAAAAGCAATTGTATGTCTAATCAACATTGGAATTATATAAAAGATGTTGGCATATTTAAATGTGAATTCTGTTCCATGTGTAGATTTGTTGAAAGAAAAAAATAATTTACAAATTGTGGATAATGCGTTTCATACAGAATCTTTCAATCATTATAAAAGTGTCTAGGTCAATTTATCTTGTCAAGTGCACTTACATATTTCTACATATGGGAAAAACAAAAAAGAGAGATGCAGAGTCATATAGGTGAATTTATCTGGGATACTAGAACTATGAATAATCTAAGGGTTTTAAGAGAAATTACGAGTAAGTTCCCATAGGGAAGATTCTGGTTGTATTCCTTTCCAAATGGAATGCTTTTGGACATGCAATATCCAAATACTATGAATATACGATTTCTTAACCCTAGACCCTAGAGGGTTGAAGAAGGAGATGAAATTACATGTCTTGCTATAATGATTATTTCAGATTCAATTAAAATATATATAGGCTATATAAACTATAATTGGGGTTAAAGTTTCATTTCTCTTTGATATAGCCTAGAATTATTTACATTTTTTTCTTATCTACATGTAAAAGATATACATGTAAAGGATGCAGCATGATGTAAATAATCTTATCCGTATGTGTTAATGTTAAAAACATGTTTTTTATGTATAGTTTGTGATTCTGTATATACAGGGGGGCAACCATATTTGCTCATTACAAACTGTATCTAGACTCTGTTTTTCTAGTTTGCAGTTTGACTGACTCACCCATTAGGATGTTGTCCTCATAACCATTGCACTAAAAACAAATAGGACCCATAGACAGGTTACATAGAAAGTTACAAATCAGGACATGGAGCAATGTAGCGTTAAAAAAATATATAAATTCACTTGTAGCAAAAAAGTACCGAAAAATTATTTAACCACTTCTTGACCGCGCTATTGCCGAATGACAGCTACAGCGCGGTTGTCCAGTTCTGGGAGGGCATCATATGACGTCCTCCCAGAACCGCGCCCCAGCGATGCGCACCCGGCACTCTTCATGATCGCTGTGTCCTTTGGACAGAGCTGATCTCATGTCATGGTAAAGGGCCAATCACATGTGATCAGCTGTGTCCAATGACAGGTGATCACGATGTAAACACACTTGCCGGTTATCGGCATTACTTTCCTCACACTGTCACAGGGACTCCCCAGCTGCTGAGGCCCCACCTCTCTCTCTTCTCATTGGCTCACTGGCTGTGATTGACAACACCGGGAGCCTATGGC